AGTCCCCTTGGACTTTAGCCAGCAGGGGCCTGTGCGAATGTGTGCGCACATGCACAAGAGATGGGCAGAGGATGCAAGCGTGTTGCCTAACAGGTTCGATGAATGGGTCACTGAAATGTTTTGAGGCCCACTCCTACTTTGCTCTTCAGAAGCAATTGGAGGAGCCCTCAGAGTGCCCTGCACTGCAGAGTTGTGTAACCCCTTGGGCCTTTGGGTTTTCAAAGGTTCTGGGTGCTCAAGAGCTGAGCATCCCTTGCACAGGAGGAGAAGATGGGTGGTCCAGAGCTTTGACTCTGGTGTTTTTCTAGGGAGGACCACACAGGCAAGGCCCTTGGCCGCTGTGTGTTCTTGAGAAGTTTCTTGAGGATGGAGAAGGGCAGAGAAGGGGGTGTGTGCAGAGAGAGGCCAGGGTCCTTCCTATTCAAGTCCTCTGCCAAGGCCTACAAGAGGACAGAAGCTTGGTTGACAGAGCCCCTAACAGGATCTGCTCTGGGATTTTGGTAAAGGGTATAGGAAATCCAACAGGTAGATTTCTGGCTTAGCCCCACCCACCAGTGTTCCCTCTAAGCTGAGTTAGTGTGAGCTAGCTCACAGTTTTTTAACCTCCGGCTCACACATTTTTGTCTTAGCTCATGAAGGACGGCTCCAGAGCAAACTAATTTATGCAGTAGCCAAATCGCTCGCTCACAACTATAAAGCCAGTAGCTCACAAAGTAGAATTTTTGCTCACAAGACTCCACAGCTTAGAGGGAACATTGCCACCCACCCCTCAAGAAAGGGGAGCTGTGTGGTTTCAGTGGGGCATGCGAGGAAGAACTCCTTGCTGGGGTGGACCTGGTTGCCCAATCCCTTGGGGTGGACCTGGTTGCCCAAAAGGGAGAGGCGAGAGGGCAGGCTGGGGGAGGGGGCATCCCTTGTCTGGAAGGACAGCAGCAGCCTTCCCTGGCTCCATGCCCTTCAAACCCACCCGCCCGCCCCTGTCTCTAAAGCTTGCCGTTTCCATTCCATGTCTTAAATGGGCATGAAGGAATTAAAGCAGCACCAAGTGAATAACAGCATTAGTTTCAATTAATTCTCTCTCTCTTTTTAAATTCCTGGCAACAATAAAACTTCGGCAACAAAAGCCTTTTTACATTCTTAATTAGCTGTGCTTCCCATCTGTAGGCTTTTATATGTTTTTCCCCCCTCTTCAAGTGCCTGTGCGCCTCGCTTTTAAACTTTGTCCCTCCTCCAGAGATGCTGCCTTTCCCCTCCTCCTCCGTGTTTTTGAATCCCTCGCAGACGGATTCCTTGTTTCTTTCGGGTGACCTTTCACCTCCCTGGCCCTGACCTGCTGGAGCCTTGTCTCTGCAAACTGATTTCAGCCTGTATCTCCCCCCCCCCCACATGGCCCCGCATCATCAGCGCTTTGGGATACGACTGCCCCAGCTGTGTGCACAGGAGGGAAAGCTTCACCCACCCCAAACTTCTCTTGCACTTTTGAAGTTTTTTTCCTTTCTTTTTTGGATAGCAGGATTTCATATTATATCATCTGGGGAGGGTGTGTGAAATGAAGGATATCCCTGTAGGCTGCACAGAAGGGGGGGGGGAGAGAGAGAGGAAGGGAGGCAACGCTGGAAAATTCTGCAGTCTTTCAGCATTCTCTGCCCGAGGGTGATCGCCCTGGGCCTGCCGTTGAATTGGAGCTCTTACAACTGCCTTCTGTTTACCTTTTATGGTTAAAATAACAGCTTAGCAAAGAAGCAGCTTTGTGGAGGGGGGGGAGGGGGGGAAGAAAACATTCGGAGAAATCATCTCAAGCTGTAGCAGCCTAGCTAGTTTAATCACCCCTAGAGTGCTGAACAACTGTGTGCTCAATGGGACACAAAATCATTTTGTGTGTAAATGAGCATGGGAGGGTGATTATTTCACTTTCCATGGGCAAATAGTTTTTACAAGCAGTGCGCGGCGCACTCGGCAGAGAGAAGGCAGGGAGAGCCGAGCGGCTTGTGCAGAGTTCCTGGGGAGGGATGCTTCGGGCAACCCGCCATAGAGAGGGAGAAAGAGTTTTGGAATGGGCACTCTCTTGGGTTGGGACGCCATGTTGGTTTACTTAGCCAGATGTTGGTTTCCCTGCCTTCTCCCCCTTCTGCAGTGGCTGGAGTCGCTGGGGCGTTCTCCTGCGTCAGCCCCGCTGAAACCAATCTGTGCTCTGGCACCCCGTTGTAGTGGAGCTAGCGTGGGGGAACTTTCAGTGGACTGTGCCCTCTATAGCCTCACAACACACTCGTGTCATAGGCACACTGTATGCAGATGATCTGAAGTGTACATTACATTTGTTGGGGGCATTATTTTATTTTTTACAAATTGAGTCTTGATGACCTGTTCCAGCTTTTTCATGACTATAAAAAGGCCTTCACTGGGGTTTACTTTCTAAGATTTTGAAAGTAAGAGTAGATTTCCCCCACAACCTCCCCCCAAAAGACATTCCTTAACTTTGTGTTGCATAAAATATTTATTTAGGCAAGACAAGAAATATTTATTTACGCAGGACCAGGTTTTTCTTTGTAGTGTGTAGGTAGTTCTTGACAAAAAATACCATAGTGATTGACTTAGAATGAAGGTGCAGGTTGCATGCTTAGACCCCAGCATCGCTCTTCTTTGACAAAACCATAAACCTGGTGGGTTTTCCAGGAGGGGTTTGTTTGGAATCCCTTTACCCATTTTAATAATTCAGACCAGATTTAGACTTAAGATCTGCTCAACTTTCTGGGCGGTGGAGTCTTTGACTTCTGCATCCCAAATGTGAGAGAGATGTCAAAAATGCACTGAGGTGAGTTGAGAGATCCCAAGTGGGGTATGAATTATTTTGGCATTAATATCGTGAATAAGAACCTGTGGCTGCCATCCTGGTTAGAAGTACTTAAAAGTAAGTCCCTTTGGACACAAGGAGGCTTACTCCTTTGTAAATGTGCCTGGAGACTGGATTGTGAAGCTGCATTCCTGTTCAGATGGGACCGGAAGTAAGCTCCCTACCGTGGGACATTCTTCCAGATCAATGGACTGTGGCTGAGACATGTGATAGGCTTTGCAACTGCTGGTGGGTAAACGTGAGCCACATCTGTAGGCATCTGGAGTCTGTACAAATCGATCCAGAACTCCAGGGCTGTAATCCTGCTCCATTATAGTCAGCGGGAGTCCTGCTACTGACTTTAGCAGGGGCAGGTTGGCACCCCTGCTCTTTGCCTGGCTGTAGTGATTGTTAGCCCCGGATACTGTAAGATTGTAAATTGGGGGTGGATGTTTTTGATGGTGCCCTGTGTGTTAAGATTTCAAAGCAAAAGAATAAGAATGAAGCCGTGCTTAGTTTCATGTGCACTCACAAGCAAAAGCAACAGAAAACAATGGGGTTAAGATGTATCATTATTTCTTCTTTAAAAGAAAAAAGCAGAAATTGTGATGGGTGGCTGCTAGTGAGACCTGTTGGGGAGAGGAGAAAGCAGAGCTCCTCCTGCGTGCATTCGAAAGAATTCATCCTTGCCCCTCGAAGGTGGTGCTATTGTCAAAATGCTGATCTCCCGTCAAGTGGCTGAAGTTGCGGGACAGTGCTGATCCTTGGGTCTCTGCGCAGGGTAGATGTCTGTTCTGCATGTGTCCAGAGAAATCTAAAAGCATGTGGATTCAGAATGGGGTGATGTATTACTAGAGCAACAAAGAGAGTTGCTCCTTTCTTATCACCGCGTTCCGTTTTCTTTGCTCTGTATTTCAGAAGGGGCGAGGGAAGTGCTTTCTAAGGGATTTTGTCTGTTGAATGGCGGGATAGTTTTGCTTGGACTAGTGGCAGCAATCTGGGGGGGGGTGTTACTTAAAAGGAGGGAGGTATTGATTCTAAGAAACGTGGTCCAAGTAGTTGAAATAGTTATTTGTTGTGGGAATGTGGCATAGGAAGAGCCTGTGAGACTTAGCAGTGCTGAGTTGCTCTGTGGAGTCACTGCAACCCAAAACACCAAGAAAATTAAATTACCTTCAGAAACGTTGAATAGCTAGGATGTTTGGCACGTTTTCCTTCAGCACTCAGGGGGCGAGAACTGCGATGGTTTTGCTTTGCCACTTCCAGGAACAGGCAGGATTTTCAGCTGGTTACCTGTCTGTGCTACAGAATTGTCTTTTTGCAGTTTGGAGGGTGTGTTCTTTGTTGGTGCTCAAAAACTGATGCTCACCAGTCTCTGGGCACCAGAGGGTATGCCAAAGTGTTTTTGTTCTTGCCTTTATCAGAGCTCTGTTAAATGTTTTCAAATTGATGAGGATGCTGGTGCCGATCTTCCTTTGAATTTAAACATGACTTGGGAAAGTATTTAAATATAACTGGGATTGTTGTGGAAATATATATGTTTTTGGTGGCATAAGAGATTACAGGGTCATTTGAGATGATATACAGGGTGGTCACTGTTTAAAAAAAATTGTGGTTGGACTCTCATGCTTCTATTCTGTCGCAAATAGTATAGTCTAGATAATAACTGGGTGTCACTTATTACGCATGTATTTATTTATTTTCCAAAAAAGTCTCCAAAGAAAATAGTTTTAAGTTTGTTACGAATTTTACTACATGTCTAAATGAAGTGCCTTAGGTACTGAGGAAGTCACTAATTTAGAGGTGTCTCGTTACTGAGACAAACTTGCAAAAAACCCTGAATCCCAATTCACAAATTGGTTATTCGTTTGTCAGGGGATATTTCACATCTAACACATAAGCCCGCGACCTTTAATTAGAATTTTGCAGTTTGTTTTATGCCCCTTGAGGCTGACACCTTGAAAAAGATTTTTTTCCCCTTGATTTCTTATTGCTAATAAGCATCTTTTTCTTCGCCTCTGGTTCTCTGAAGAGTATGATGCAAATACACTTAATTACAGAGGTGGCAATAATTTGTTAGCTGAATATGTGATCAGGCAGATGCAAAAATGATCTTATTAGATCTGTGATCACGCTGTGGAATCAAGGTAATGCACAGCTGCATTTGAGAGAGAAAAAACGTGTTCTTTTTTTCCCCTCCTCTCTCCAGGAGGAAGGAAGAGCTATGTCCCGGCTGTCTTTAACACGGTCTCCAGTTTCTCCCCTGGCTGCCCAAGGAATTCCTCTCCCAGCTCAGCTGACCAAATCCAATGCTCCTGTGCACATTGATGTAGGCGGACACATGTATACCAGCAGTTTGGCAACACTGACAAAGTACCCAGATTCCAGGTAAGGCGGCTACATTTTCTGCCAATACCTTTTCATTGCATGGGGATAGACTTGATACCTGAAGGGCAGTTGGGTAATCATAATTCAGCTTTTGAGGTTATGGGGAAGGGAACTGCAAAGCATCCTTGGGATTTTCAGACCAGCTCTCTGATTTTTCCCCCTTCACTTTTTTTTCTAAACTATGCTGCGTTGAAAGCACCTGTTGAGGACATTATCTGAAAGCTAAAGATATTTTTTTCTTTAAAGCCTGGTTTTTAACTTGGGCATGCCAGCAGCCCCAAGAAACCTCTTGCAGGGCCAGCCATTCCTTTTTTAGCAGAGTTGTCCAGTGAGAATCACTCCCTGTTGTCTCAGTCACCTTTATTGTGAAATCTGATGCATTTCCATGCGGCTTGATTCCAAGACAGTTTTGTTTGCAGTCATGCCTGCCTTGGTGGTAAAATCTGCGGGGGGGAGGGGGGTAATATGTGTACTCAAAGAAACTTGTTTTGGATTGCCACGTCTGTTGTATTCAGCAGATTTCTCCACTGCACTGTCTGTCTAGTCCTGATTCTTGTGAGTGTGTGTGTGCTGATGAGGGCCAGAATCTTTGCCTCAGCATAGGATGAATGGAAATGTCCAAGAATGAATCAGTTTTCCAAATGAATGTGTTGCACAGGGAAGTGTTCATGAATAAGTTAGTGCCTGTCTGTATGTGTGTCTATCGATAGGGTAATTCTTTACCATCCCTATGGGTTTGGGGGCATGGGAGCCAGTGCAGATTGCAGATATGTGTAGTGCTTGGGGTGTTTGTATTGCAAAGATGCTGAGATCTTTTGCAATAGGGTATTCTCAGGCTATGCTCTGATTAAGCTTTGTGATGGTTGAAGGGAAGGGATTTACCAGCAGGCGCATCAGAAAATGGTATTGTCAGGTATGTCAGGACGGGAAGAGTGGTACCCATGCACTGCATAGTCACTGTTTGGTGTACACTTTGGAATGAGACAAAGGCTTATAGGTCCATGATAGCGTAATCCTGACCAAAGTGACACCCTTCTTATTCCGTCATAACTCAGTTTAGGGTTGCCCTGTGAAGCTATGCATGCAAAGCATGCAAATGGGGTCCTGGCAGGTCTCAAATTCGGGCACCCAAATTTAGGGCAAAATCCCACTGGGAAATTATCTTGCACAAATCCCAGTGAAAGGGGCCAGTGTTGTGCCACTGAAAAAAAAATCCCACCCATTTTAACTGGCTGTATTCAGCCGAAGCGTGACAGTGGATTTCAGGTTTGCTGAGCTAACGCCCTCAGAGACGTCACTTCACACATTGCGGTTCCAAGCCTACAGCAAAGACTTTTCAAGTGTGTACCTAAACATTCCATGTGTGAATGAGACAAATGTATATTTGCAAACACATAAACCATATAAGTGTACTCAGCAGAGATCCGGGGTTGGTTGCAGCTCTGGTTCCTGCCTAATGTGTGAAGCAGCCCCCAGTGATTAGAGTGATGGGTTTGGCTCTGGGAATCTTAGCCGGCAGACAGCCAGTTGCAAACATGATTGCTTCGAGAATACTCAGGGTACATGAGTGTTTTTCACAGCAGCCTTATAACTAGTGCAAGTCATGTGCGCACGTACATGCATCTTTGAACTCTCAGCTATACATGTCTGGGAAATACAATTGGCCAGGTTTTCCATGGGTATTTCCATGGGTGTTCAAAGGCGCATGTACAGCATTCCTTTGTTACAGTTTGATGCAGGGAACTTTGATGCTTCCTGCTCATATAATAATGTCTGCTATGGTCAGTGCAGGGGCTTTGGTGAGTTCCTGTCTTTCAGGCTTGCCTTGCTCATAAGGTTGTTCTGAGGCCAGCATGTCTTGAGAAGGTTGGGATAGGATTGGGGGGAAATACAAGGAGCCTCCTTTAATTCTGCAGGAAATGATTTCCCCCCCCCCCAAGTGTAGAAGATCCGCATAAGACCAGTAGTTTTGTTCAGAAGAAAGTCAGGATTTCTGCACCAGCAGGACTGCCTGAAAGGGTTTATTTTTGATACTTATACCCCGCTTTTTCCCTCATCAATGACCCAAAGCAGCTTACAACATCGTTCTTACATTATCCTCCCCATAACAACCATGTGAGATAGGCTGGGCTAAGAGAGACAGTGACTGGCACAAAGTCATCCATTGAGCTTTTCTGGCAGAGTGAGGATCTGAACCGAGGCCTCTTAGATCCTAGTCAAGCACTGTGATCAAATTGATGGAATTTAGCTCCCTCAGGCTCCTGTGCACCTGGGAAGAGGGGAGACGGCAGGATACAAATGTATAAATCGATAAATAATTGGAATAATTTAGCTTGATCTTTTATACTATTAAGTTGGCGAAGTACTGGCTAAATTTCTTCCCAAATTGGACTTTTTATGCTTCATACTTGTAGGACATTGTTTTCAAACGTGTAGGTAGCAGCCTCCAAACATTGGAGAGCTGCTTACTTACACTCACAGCCATTTACCAACTACAGTTTTCATTCTGTAAACAAAAAAAATGCAACTGGGGTACAAAAGAACCTCAGAAATCTACTTACAGTTTTCACTCAAATACAAAACTAGGTTTTCTCACAGGTATGCCATAAAAAAGAGGTAGTTGTCTTACATTTGCATGCAAGTTACACTTATGTCAAGTAATAATGTGTGTGTGTTTGTATAACATTTTAAAGGAGGGGTCATCTTATATTCAGGTTCATCTTCCTTTGGGCTAAGTACGGTATTTTGCATTTTAGGTGCTTTTATGCTTTAGCTCATCAATTGTATTTGGGATTAAAAAGTACCCCATAAGGTTCCTCTGCCCCACCTCCCATGAAAACATTGCTCCAGGGAAGCATTTTAAAGTGCTTTAGAGAGAAACAGCCCCTCATGATAACCTGATGACCATTCCTGATAACCTCACCTCAGATAGATGTGTTCCTGGGGTATAAAAATGCACATAAAATTGGCAATTTTTAATGTTTTTAATTAATGCAGTTTCCCCCCCTGCATTGTGAAATGCAATGTCTTCTGCCACCACAAAGCATTGTGGGATATTTTCTACCCCAATATGCATTCGAATTTGGCTTGGGGTATGACTATATATCTCAGGCTAAAACATGTGAAAGTTTTTTTCAGAGTAGGGTAGCAAGGTTAAACACTCCCCTCCCCGGATAAAAAGATGTGTATTTTGAATGGTGTTGATTTAGGACTTACGGAAAAGGGCTATGTTCAGTGCACAAAAAGACTTCTAAAGTAGCAACCATGTCTTACGGCAGTGGTCTTCAAACTGTTCTTCAGGAATCCTTCCCAGGGCAGGCAAACATCTCAGAAAGATAGCATGACCCGTGTCCTCTGTACCTGATCCTTCCCTCCAAAATACAGCCTTATGAGGGAGTGTTGAGGGCAGTCTGGGGCACACTGTCAGTTCACACAGGACAGTGGTGGGGCCCCAGCGGCCTGCCCAGCACTCTGCCAGAGCTGAGTATGCCCCGGGGACATTTCCCAGAAGCCTTTAGAGCACACAGGAAAGCAAAATGGGGGAAAGGTAGCTGGTTGCAAAGCAGCTACAAAGGCAGAGCTGCCATTCCAAACATCTGTTTCATGAGTCAAAGAACAACAGAAAGAAATCACAACTGGTGGTACTAAAAGTATCCCCCCATCCTGGAGTTATTTTTTAAAAAACAGCAAGTCTGAAATTGAGAAGACAGAATTCCTCAGTTTAATCGTGGGGGGGGGGAGCTCAGTTGAAGAATCGAGTTCAAAGAGAGCCCCTGAAAGAGGATGGCAGGAGAGAAACACAAACATTGAGGGAATCGGGAGACCACATCGATCAAGGAGCTTGTGAGACAGGGTTGTCACGGCAGAACTACACATGTTTCCCAGTCCTGTATTTGCCCCATAAAATGAATACAGAGGAGAGTTGTTAGGCCAGGGCTCACGGCCCTTTCTTCTCCTTATTCTCCCCTGAAACCTCTCTCTCCACTGTGTCCAGGTTTTCTTGGCTCTACGACCAATATTTATTTTATTTGCAAGCCAGCGTGATGTAGTGTTTAAGAGCTGTGCGCTCTAATTTGGGGAACCGGGTTTTATTTCCCCCTCCTCCACATGAAGCCTGCTGGGGTGACCTTGGGCCAGTCACAGTTCTCTCAGAACTCTCTCGGCCCCACCTACCTCACAAGGTCCCTGTGGTGGGGAGAAAAAGGGAAAGGTGATTGTAAGCTGCTTTGAGACTTCTTAAGGTACAGGAAAAACCTGATGTGGATAGCCCAGGCCAGCCTGATCTCATCAGATCTCAGAAGCTAAGCAGGGTCAGCCCGGGTTAGTATTTGGGTCAGAGACCTCCAAAGAATACCAGGGTTGTGATACGCAGGCAGGCAATGGCAAACCACCTCTCTGAACATCTCTTGTCTTGAAAGCCCTGTGTGGTCACCATAAGTCAGCTGTGACTTGACGGCAAAAGACACACACAAGGTAGTGAAAAGCAGGGTATAAAAACCTACTCTTCTTCTGTTTTATTTAAAGTATTTATAAATCTGCCTTTTTCTCCCCAGTCAGTTGGGACCCAAGGTGGGGGACAACAAGAAGTAGAACATTAATACACAGATTCCGGTCAGGAAACAAGAACCAAAAAAGATATGATGCAACGTGCAGCTTGGCTTCATTCGGGCTGGACTTGATCCACAGATTCTCCCCCCTTCTAACTACCCTACCCTTCTCTTGCACTCTTTACATCCTTGCTTTCTTCCTTGCAGTGACTTCTGCCCGCAGAATTGGGAATGTGCTTCCTGAGACCATTTAGGGTTATATAGAAGTCTCACTGAGTTCAGTGGCACTTGCTCATAAGTGAATAATCATGTGCCTGCAACCCAGTGTTGCAATCCTGTGCCCGCTCTGTCTGGTGTGTTCAACTGAAGAGACAGCAGGGCTTACATCTGTGGAGTAATGTAGTATAGTGTTTAGGGTCTCAGGCATATGGGTTCAAATCCCCACTTGCCAAC